TAATGACTAAAAACCATAGCTTGTTATGACTGGTTTTTGTCACCTAAAAGTCAATGCTTTATTGATAACCGATTCTGCGCTTAAAAATATTTTTCAACCCTTTTTTATGACCCTTTGTTTAAAATGATTTCATATTTTTTGATGCAATGTTACGTTTAGTTACATAACATGTTATCTCTTATTATTTTATGTAAGCGAATGTATAGTCCATTCTCTATAAGATTAGAATAATTGTTATAAATTTATTAATTAAACCATTAATAAAATCATCATTTCATTGGCACACAAGATATGACACAACCGGTGAAACAATTGAAAACATCACTCGAGACCACAGATGACGGCAATGAAGACAACAGACAACAGGTATTTCACAAACAATTCACTGTTTATTGAATTTTAATTATTATTTAACAATTTAGATACAAATCTATGCAAAAGACTCAATGGACAGATTTGGTGATGATTTGTGTGCACTTATATTGACTTATCTCACATTTGAAGGTCGGTTTCAATGCGAATGTGTGTCCAAACAGTTCCAGAGGACAGTCTATGGGAGTGTTGTCCACATGTATCTAAGCGATTACATTTTCTTTAAATTAATGGGAACTTACATTTACACCGAATTGTTGCCCATAATTGCCATAAAGTGTCCAAACATTCAAACCATTGACTGCCGAGGAATAACTTATAGATTTGATGAATATATTCCCGAAGTGTTGAACATATTTAGAGATAATTGTCAACATTTGCGTGAAATACACGTCGCTTTATGGCAAATGAATCACAAATGGATGCTTACATTTGAACTACTTGTCACTAGAATTAGCATGTTCAATCGATGGCACAATTTTTCCAAACAATTATTAGTCAAGAATTTGCATACAATTGAATTGAATGACTACTCTAACACTCATAACCGACTGTTGGCCGCATTCGCCGCACAGAATCAGTGCATTAGATGTGTTGTCATCAAATCACTTGATGATCCGTTTAATAATAACCTGGTTGAATTTGGTCAACAATTGTCACGATTAACACAATTACGGGAATTGACACTCAATTTAAGAGTAAGTGGTATCGGGAACTCATTGTCTGAGTCTTTGCGTACAATTGGCTTAAAGTGCAAACAATTGCAATCATTGACATTACATACAGTAAAATTCAATTGCTTTTAACTTATGATCAAATGATTTTTACGAACGCGAGTCGACGGTCAATTCATTTTTGCGTTCAGTCTATTCATTTTTACAGCAGTGAGTTTCATTCAACTGATAAATGACTATTGCAAGCACTGCGACAACAATTGAATGAAACGTCACATTGATTGCATACAACACTCATTGATGTAAAAATGAATTGACTGAACGCAAAAATGATTTGACCGTAAGCTCGAGTTCGTAAAAATCATTTGATCATAAGTTAAAAGCAATTGGATTTTACTGTATATTCAAACTTTTGAGTGATGAGTCCGACCCACAACTCAATGGCAATACAATGGATTCATTGAGATATTTTTACAGATTAAAACGGTTTAATTTAACCCTTTCTATAAATCAATAACTGTTGGAACCGTTGAAATTCTGTCACCGATTAACACATTTAACGGTTAAGATTTGGGAAGAGAGCGACAAATTGTTGTATAATTGTCACCAAAATTGGCCACGACTTCAATGTGTGAACATAAAAGTGAATGTTATAACGCGTGAAACAGTTGATTACATCTTAAGATTACCAGCGCTTCAAACACTTACCATTCGCTGTCGTCAAGACATTGATCTCTCAGATTATGATCTCAAAGAGTTATTGTCCAGAAATGTTAAATTGAAGTTCATTGCAATCTCTTCAAAAAATGACCAGAAGGAGCATTACAGGCAAAATGCTTATAAATTATAAGTTATAATCTCTTATAAATTCAATTGAATTAATGTTTAGTTTACGAGACAATTATATTACACTTTTCATTAGGTATAGAAAATCCAAAATATATTTCAAATCCGTTCATTTAAAGGAGGTGTTCATCCAAGAGAAGTTTTCCCAAGAGAAGTTGCACTGTAATTCCTAAAGATTTTCTATTTAAACACATTTTTCTTAATGAATAATTATAAATTATTTAATGATGGTATATTTTATTAATTATCCAGTAAATAATTTAAATTATTGCATTCAAAAATTTGGACGTTTTAAAGGTTTAAATATCATTTTTAATTAAATAATTACTATTACTTTCTATTACTTTAAAATATTGATTAATTATTTAATAAAAATTTACTGTAATTTTTAATAATTAAAACATAAAGTGTTTGTTGAGAGACACTAAGGCTAGCGTTGGCTCGTCTTATAAACATAGTCTGAATGCCAATACATTTATGGAGAATATGTTATAATATTTTTATTTAATTTTTGTATTAATTTTAATTTCATTCAAATTTAATAAAATATTTTTAATCACAAACTAATACTGCATTTCATTCATTGAAAGTGTGAACAAAAAGTGATACAAAATGTAATGAAAATATGTGTCAATAGATGTCTCACTCGTTGTCAACACTTTGTGTTGGCTTTCAATTCACAGTCAGTGTAAATATTATCACATGTTTTGCATTGAATAACAAAAACAATTCATTCAAACAATCACTTCATTTGATCCCAAGATATGGCACAACAGATGAAGACATCACTCATTACTACAGATAACACTAATGAAGACATTCAACAGGTATTTGACAAACAATTTACTATTTATTGAGTTTTAATTGTATTTCTCGTGTTTTAGATACAAATCTATGCGAAGGACTCTTTGGATCGATTCGGTGATGACTTGTGTTCACTCCTATTGTCTTATTTCACATTTGAGGACCGATTCCGTTACGAATGTGTGTCCAAACAGTTCCAGAGGACTGTCTTCGAGAGTGTTATCGACATCACTATTAATGACAACTTTATACTCAAATTAATGCTCAAATTATTGCTAACGAAAACGACAACACCGTATGAAATGGCAATAATTGCCAAAAAGTGTCCCAATATTGAGACCATTGACTGTCGAGGAATAATCTTCACACACGAAGAACATACTCTCGAAGTGTTGAACACATTTCGAGACAATTGTCCGCATTTACGGCACATTTACTGCGATATTCGGCCAAATACTTGTCAATTGTTCCCAACATTTGGACGACTGGTCACTAAAATCAATGTCATTCAGTCGTGGAATGAATCCGTGAAACAATCACTCAATGAAACGCTCAGTCATTGCCACCGATTGTCTTATTTAAAGACATATGATTTTTCCGATTGTTTTGACAGCACTTCCGGACAACTAATTGTTAAAAATTTACACAAATTATTGTTTTCTTTTTCTAAATATTCGGTTAAAGAGAGCCAACAGTTGTCTGCATTTGTGGCACACAATCAGTCCCTCAAAAGTATTAAAACAGCGATTATTGAATCGCAAACACACGAAACTGTGGCCCAAATCGCCGAACAATTGTCACGATTAACACAATTACGGGAATTAACACTCATTTTACGGCTAATAAATAGCAACAATTCATTGAATAAGTCTTTGCGTATAATTGGCTTAAACTGCAAACAAATACAGCGATTGAGACTCTATTTACAAACGAGTGAATCCCAACTCAATAGGCATTCATTGGATTCGCTGAGATGTTATCACAGATTAAAACGATTGCATTTAACAGTAGAAAAGCCCATCAATGAAGAGGTGTTGGAACCGTTGAAACTCTGCCACCGATTAACACATTTATCGCTATATTTTGAAGAAATGAGTGACAAATTGTCGCTTAATTGCGGCAAACATTGGCCACGACTTCAATGCCTATCCATCGGTAACAATGAAATCACTGTCGAGTGTTTGGATCACATCTCAAGACTACCGGCACTGAAAACATTAGAACTTCATATTCTTTGTGGTATTGCTCTCAGAGATAGTGATATCGAAGACCTGTTTTTCAAAAGTCCTAAACTAATACCGTTTTTATCCTCATAATAATACCCTGTAATATTATGTGAAATCCAGCAAAGGGGGGTAATACTATCTAGGTAGCATTACCCCCTATTTTCGGAACAATATGACAATTTACTAAAAATCGCTTAGTTTTACCCCATTCTCCATATATAAGCTGAAGAGTTTCTAATGAAAAGTCATTTTATGAAAAGATTAAAAACTAATAGTAAGAAAATTATTGATAGTGAAAACAAAGTGTCAAATAGAGGTTTAATGTATCTGCTAGTAACTAGCAGCTAGTTTGAATTTTATATAATGTAATTAGATAATTTTAAGTTTAATCTATTATTCTATATGTAAAATATTATAAAACTATTTCAAAATCAAACAATATTAAGAGAAATGTATAAATAAATCATTTTTGTAATAGTTTGACATTATAGTTTGACATTAATTATAGTTTGACATTATAACCAATGATTATCTCAGTCTAATTAGCTGACCAATAGATAAAACGGAATGTGTTTTTACAAATTTTCTTAATATAAATTTTTCATTGAATAAGAAGTGGTTATATTTAGAAACATAGGGTATTGTGAAATATGATTTGTATTTGAATAATTCTTTTGTTAAATTTCACATAGAATTACCGGTAATTGTATGTGAGTTTTAGTACATGGGGGTAATACTATCTAGGTAACGTTACCCCCGATTCTGAAAAATCACATTTGAACTGAAATTCATCTAATATTACCGGTATTATTATGAGGATAAAAACGGTAAATACTAAAGTTTGGAACAAAACTGTTTCAAAGTTTTATTGCCGTAAAAATGCTTTAAATATTTCAATAATTTCTAAATTCAATTAATTAACATTTTGGATACTTTTAATTCAGTTGTGGCAAAACATTTAATTTCTAATTTTTATTTATATTTTTTTTCTAAATGACATTTAAATTTACTATTCAGTTAATACATGAATTGTGTTTTTAATATTTCTATTTATTATAAACACAATTAGGTAATAAATTATTACTAATAATTTTGATTATATTTAAAACATTTTGTATTTTATTTAAAACATTTCATTATATAATCAGTTAATTGAACTGTTCATTAATTTATAATTGTAATAAATAAAATTCAATTGTATTTTGATAAAAATTATATCTTTAATGTTTGTTGAGAGACACTAAGGCTAGCGTTGGCTCGTCTTATAAACATTGTCTGAATGCCAATACATTTATGGAGAATATGTTATAATGTTTTTATTTAATTTTTGTATTAATTTTAATTTAATTTAAATTTAGTAAATATTTTTAATCACAAACTAATACTGCATTTCATTCAAAGTTTGGGCAAAAAGTGTTACAAAAATGTACTGAAAATATGTGTCAATAGATGTCTCACTCGTTGTCAACACTTTGTGTTGGCTTTCATTGAATGCAAATATTATCACATTTTTGTCATAAAAATACAATTCATTCAAACAATCACTTCATTTGATCCCAAGATATGGGACAACAAATGACAACAACGAAGACATCACTCGAGACCACAGATGACGGCAATGAAGACAACAGACAACAGGTATTTCACAAACAATTCACTGTTTATTGAGATTTAATTGTTTTTGTCTCTAATTTTAGCCAAAAATCTACTCAAAAGACTCTTTGGATCGATTCGGTGATGATTTGTGTGAACTTCTGTTGTCTTACTTCCCATTCAAAGACCGATTCCGTTGTGAATGTGTGTCCAAACAGTTCCAGAGGACTGTCTTCGGGAGTGTTGTGGACATCAATATTGACGACCGATTTATGAGTAAAATATTGTATAAAAAGAGAGTTAATAATCAAAAGTTGGTCTCAATTGCCATAAAGTGTCCAAACATTGAGACCATTGTCTGTGAAGTCATATCCACTGAATATATGAAAAACATGTGCAAAGTTTTGGACACATTTCGAGACAATTGCCGGCATTTGCGGCAAATATACTGCAAATTGTGGTCAAATAGGACTCAATTAAGCGAAACGATTGGACCACTCGTCACACGAATCCCTTATATGTCATCACAAATGACTGAATCACTCATTCATTGCCAC